TATATTTTGTTTTGCTGAGGCTAACTATGCTAAACATATTTGACACAGAGAGATAACCTAAATAGGATACCAAAAACGAATTGTAGATTTTTCTTTATCCACAAAACCAATATTTGGGAAATATAGGTAACAAACAACTGTTATTAGTAAATCATATGAAAATAAAATTCAATCAAACTTACCTTAATTTTATCTAAGATATTGTACAACTGAAGATTACGAAAACCCAGTACAAATTACAAAATAGAGAGAGAAAGAGAAAAACGTCAATTTTTTAATCTACTTTATATATGAACCTGTGCACACGCACGAAAAAAATAATTAAGCAAAATTTTGTATTTTGATATGATAAAAAAAACCTTCAATAGAATGAAGTTACCACCCTCTATCCTCACATTATCCTTCCTCTTGAACGCATGGTTCCCCGATGGCTACTTGTTTAGGTGGCAACAACACCTTGTGCCTGCAATCAGCGTCATGTGATGTCCATAGGCAACAAATTCCTCCAGCATCCAACGCGTCAGATATTGGCTTAATGACGAGAATTCCCTCCCCAATGGCTGCACAACAAAATGCCCCGAGAAAAACCACGAGCGAAACGATGTCGTACATCTCGTCATGGGGGCTCCAAAGCATGGTGAATCCAAGGGAAACAACTTGCAATGGCAAAGCTATAAGCACCGCTAAGGCCAAACTATAAATTCTCACACGTAGGCCCTTATTGATGACCAAAGACAACACTCTCCAACAAGAGAACAAGAACCATGCCGTGTACACAATACCAAACCCTGCAAAGATAATGCTATTAAGAAAAGGGTAGGCACATAGGATCACCTCGCTTCCAAAGTTGTCGTTAAAAACCACCGAGGTCTGGTGGAAAAGTCCTGGCACACGTGTCTCCATGGGGTTGAAAAAGATAAGCAAGGTTTGGAAGGTGGCGAGGGGAATGCACGTGAGGAACACAAATGTAATGGCCCACGGGTCATTTGGGGTCTTCTTTTTTATAGAAGCATTGAGGAGGAAAAGGAGAGTGATGAGGAACGCAGGTTCAAAGAATCCTAAGGAAAGGATGATGTGGATTTTGCAAAGGTTGGCTTGTTGTGATAGAGTAAAGGAAGGCAAAAAAATGTATCCGTATTTACGGCGTAAAAATGGTAACCGGAATAGTTCGGTTATGGCCCACAAAAATATGAAGAGGACAAGGAGGAACCTCACTGTCCAAAGCGAATTGAAACCTTGTAGGTGCCTTAAGTATTTTGATTTGAAGTGGAGGTGGAAAATGAAAGACAAGGATAACACCGACAAGATTATCAAAGCAGAGATAAAGGTTATGGTGATGAGGTCAAAGGCTGAATTGAGGAATGGTAATTCAAGCACGAACAACATGGATCACTTTATCTTTTATATATATGTGTGCTTATTACATATATACATATGTGTCTATCTTTCAATTAACATATATTGTATTGATCTCTTTGATGTATATGTAGATGACCAAATCTTTTTTACCTGGGCAAATGGATTTGATCGAATAATATGATGACGCTGGCTCTGGTGGCGGTGGAGAAAAGGTGAGGTTAAGCATGGGAGATTGGTAAATAATGTTTTAAGATGTGAAGGCATATAGGGTGGTGGGTTTGGTCGGAAGGGATGGTGGAGAATATTAGTGTTGTTCTTGTTCTCTCTCCCCCCACTAATCCCAACCGGTGGAAGAACAGCTAAAAAAGATTTAGGTTTTGGAAGATACAAACCTAAAGAAGAATAACAGATAGAAAGAGAGAGAGATGACATTTTTTTTGTACAACGACGAGAGGGGGATTTATGGTATAATGACAAGGATCCTTTAGTTTCGGTCCTGTGCGGTTACTGAGATCACCCGTTATAGAGATCATCCCTTTCTTCTCTTTATTAGTTCTCACACACAAAAATTGTACATAAATAATAACGGTGTTATATAATCATCATTTTCTAATTTTTTTTTATTGATCTTTATTATGACCTTATATTCTAACAAGATTTGATCGGTTTTCAATATTAGTGCTACCTTTTACTACTTAAAAGTTATGTACAGAAAAATTATTGGTGTAATTCTAATAATTCTTGTTTTTTGAAACTGTCTAATACCTTTTTTTTCTAATTTGATAGTTAAGTAAGTGGTATTGTCTCATATACGATACAAAATTATTTTGGAAATTAGTATTACTTGTATTAATTGAGAAAGAGGGATTGAAACGTAAGCTAAAGAAGCTAATATGAATTAATAAAAGACACCCATGAAAATAACTTAGATAAAATGAAAATTTATTAAATATTTAAATCAATAAATTTTATGAAATGTTATACTATTTGATATTTAAAAAATGACACACATACAAGATAACTATTACATTCGTTGAATTCATTTAAATAAATTTAAAATATTAATTTAAATGATATTATAAAGGAGAATTTATACTATATTATAAGAAAATACTAAATGTAATTTTTTTTATCAATTCTAATTTAACATTTATAGCTAAATTATATATTTAAAAATATTTTGATTTGATTCAAGATAATGCTTGTTGTGAGAAATATAAGTTAAATAAATAATTAGAATCTTTGATAATTTAATGCTTTGATTAAATATTGACAAATTGATTTAAGTTTATATAATTATATGTGTATATTTTTATTTTTTTATTCTTATTAACATTTAAGGTGGTCTTAGTATTTAAATGGTTAACACCTTTCCTTTCGTATATGTAAACTAGTGTGAAACATTTTGTAAGAAAAACTCAAATTAAAGATTAAATCATGAAGGTTAAATATGTAAAAAATGATCATGGGTTTTTTTAACTAAGTCTAAAAGACTTTGCTATTTGAAAGAAACATTCTAAAAATTTGTTGTATTTTGAGATATAATTTTAAATTTTAACATTTGAAGATTGTTCGTAGGAAGTTAATTTTGATTTATATAAAGATTGGAGATTAAATATCAATGAAAGAAACGTTAAGATTGAACTTTATCTAACATTCCTCTAGCAATGTATATCTCTAAACACACATATATTAACTTCTTTACCAATGTTAATATAGTAATATATATCTAGTTAGTCTAGTCCCTTAAAATTAAGATTTTGAGTTATTACCACAAATGTTAATACTTAACATATTTGTAAATATTTCTTACATTAAGTATTGTGCTTTATGCAACTAATAAATTAATGGTTTATTTCTATCAACATAATTTGTTAAGTGATTTATTCTAAATTTTAACCTAGAGAGTGGTTTCTAGTCAATCTCTAAAACATAAACCAACTTGTGTGATTAAGACATACCAAATAGAAATGAAAAAGAATCATTAGCATCAGTACATAAATATATGTATCAAAAATATATATACGATAGTTGATTAGTTATATTCAGTCTAATTTCAATTTAATAGAGAGAAGATTTACTACTTATTATTATTAAAGCAATCTCAAAACACCAAAAAGAAATGGAGGAACAAATATGATTCTTCACTTTAAGCTCCAAGAATGTTGGAAGATTATTCTTCTCCTCAACCAATTAAAGATATGCAAAATAGCTTCCCTTTCTATTTATATCACCTGATCTTTGGCACATGAGAACTAAGAAGTGTTTGAAAGTTCTCAAATTCTCTTAGACAAATCATTTCACTTCTTTTCTAAAAATAACATTTGCTTAAGCCAGTTTTTTGGTGTTCTAAGTAAATTTTAGACCATCTGAATTTAAAGTTTTTGTCCCAATTTTGCTTATGTAAATTTTTACTTTTGCTAAGTACATCATTTTTTATTTTTTTTGTCTTTATTTATATATTTTATGTTTAAGCAAAATTATTTGACAAGCAAAAATTTCTTTTTTTTTCTTTCCTTCCAAATACTATAAAAATAACTGTATATATTTAACATGTTGCTATCTAATTATGTTTTCATATACAATTAAATGTAAAATACAATTTAAATTGAAAGTTTGGAGGTAAAATTTATTCTTTTCAACTCAATCTTTCCAGTAACATTTACGATTATCAAATATTTTTTAATTATTTTAAAATTGTATAATGTATTAATTTTGAGATATATAAATAGAAAATTTAACTCTTTTAAAATGAAAAGAAATATAACTTTAAAAAAAAAAGATTGAATTAAAATTAGTTATGTATACAAAATATTTTAATTCTATTGAATAATTTATAAACTATTCAATAAAGAGTTATTACAATAATAAATATAACTTTACTGATGTAATTTAAATAAAGGATAAGTAAATAAAAGGGGAGTAAAATATATCACAAAAGATGAATTTATAACTCATTTTTATAATTAAATTAAATTTTTTTCCAAAGTTAGAGACTACGAAGTGTTTCTTAAGCCTAAAAAGTTCAAGAATAATTTCTACTTGTGATTTATAATTGTGTGTAGGTTGATTGACTTTAAACTAATTAAGTTGACTTAAATAAACAATTATTTAATTTTTATAAAGTACTTTCTTTAAATTTAATTTATATACCTTTTTAATTATTCATTTGAATCAATTATATTTTTTATTCAAAATATCCATTATATTAAAAATATTTAAATTATTCATTTGAAATATTTATGAATTTGATAACGTAAGTTAATGAAAGATATCTTCACGTGTCTTTCGCAATGATGTATGACGAAAAGAAAGCGAAGAGAAACCGGAGGACTAATTCCTATCATTTCAAGACTTTATAAAAGTTATTACATTTGAAACGGTTATAAATGTTAATTATTAAGATTAATTTTAAATATTAAAAAATAATAAAATTTAATTAAAAAGATATTGTTACAGGAGAATACAAAATATATATTAAATATTTCCTATTTTATTGAAATCCTACCACTTTTAGTGCCTAAAACAGTTAACATTATCCTATTTAAAAGGGATAATTTATTGTCTAAATCTGAATTTATTTTATGTAATAATATATATATTATAAATATATATTTGCCGTTTGGTTCAGGCAAGAAGGCAAGAAGACGAGTGCGGTTGTTTGACACTTTGCGCTCTCTTTCTTTTTTTTTTCTCTTCCAACGGTCCAACTTTGACTATCTTGTTCTCTCCTTCCCCTCTCCAAGTTCCGGTCTTCTTCCAAATTCTCCAATCTCTTTCCCTTTGTCCCATTCATGGCTTCACCGCATTATCCAAACCCTAGAACTCCGGCACCGTTCAATTTCTGATCCGTTTCCGTTGCAGGAACCATGAACGTGACTATTGATTCCGCTCTCTTCGGTTTTCTGTTCCCATCACTTTGGGAGATCAAAGTCACCGTCGCTGCCTCCGTCTTCGTCATCCTTGCCTATTGGTTCTTCTCCTTCAGAACCGGAGACCTCCACGCCGATCCATCGCTTCCCGACAATCCTGTCGCCGCCGGCGATGTTGCCGACGATAAGGACAAGGTTTCTTTCGTCATTCACGAAGCTCTTCTACTCTTCAATTTTTGCATTGCTTCTATACTATTCTTGTTGTGTTTCTACGTATTATTTCTAAGTTAGGGAAGATTTTCGGTGATTCAGTTGTTTTTAAAATTATTTTATTCTATTGACAGTTACTTTCTTTTTTTTTTATTTAGAATAATCTAGCACTTTAGAGGAATTGATAAATTTACCTTAAGTGAAGCAATTGTGGATTCAGTTTTGTCTGTTATAAGTTCGTTTGCAAGATTGTAATTGTGATCACTAGTACGTTTGCGTTTGTGGGTTTTGAAGAACGAAAATAACTTAATGGAGTGATTTTAACTTGTTGACATGCAGTTGTGCACTTATTTTTGTAGATGGACCAGCCGAAAGTAGATTCTCAGACCAGCTCTGCGTACCTGATTAAGGTATTTGGGTTTTCTACCGGTGTTTAGTGTGGACTACATCCCCCAACGAAGGCAACTTGCCCTGTATTAAGGCCTGATTATGTATATTGAAGTTATTGATATCTACCTTTTTTCCCTTTTTAAATTCTCTTTGCAGTTAGAACTATTGGCTGCTAAGAATCTCATTGGTGCAAACTTAAATGGCACATCGGATCCTTATGCTATTATCACTTGTGGCAATGAAAAGCGATTCAGGTTTGTCGATCTAGTTGCTCCGTATCTTATTTTCTCGTGTAAAGAAATTAGTTCATTGGCAGTCTTATTTGTACTTTGGATTTATAAGCTTAGGATTATTTTTTGGGTGGAATAATATTTTGTGATTCTCTGAAATGGGTGCAATTTATCCTAAAGATAGGTGAATGCATGATCCATGTTTTTCATTTGTGTGTGACATACTGATAATATATGTTTTCCATCATACTCAGCATATCTTCCTCTGAGAAGCAATATTTTTTGTCAACATTGTTCAATGGGTCCTGATAGTTTGATATTCGGGTGTGCTGCAGTTCAATGGTTCCCGGTTCAAGAAATCCAATGTGGGGAGAGGAATTCAATTTTTCTGTTGATGAACTCCCTGTCCAGGTAGTTTTCTTAGTATCTATCTTTTCATCTATGTTTTGATTTGGAGTCATTTGCCAACTGTTTACAGCTGTTGAAAATGGTTACAGTGGTTTGGGAGGTTCAATTATTATCCTAGCAAGCTGATGTTGATGTTTAAGCTAGAAATTACCATTAAGCACCATATTTTTCTTTCTTCTTTTTGGTGTAATTGTAAACTGTTCTTCTGTGAACATGGTTAGTATTTCTTTTTTGCTCTTTACCTGGATTTATGTTCATTCAAAGGACAAATAGCTTTATCTGCCTCTTAGCTTTACATTTCTTGTAAGTAACATATATATATGGCAGTTGATAATGATCTTTTGTGAATTTTTCCATATATGAATGGATTTTATCTCATTGGCAATGCAATTTATTTACTACTAGTCCTCTGTTGAGATAGGTCTGGTTTTTGTTATTTCATTGTCATCGTAATAAAAAGATAGTGTAAATGGTGATAGAATTTTGCCTAAGGTGCCTTGTGGAAATATAGAGAAGACCTGTAAAAGCCCCATTAAAAGAAGGAAATTTAGACAGAGGATAGCCCTATAGTTAGATTTAGGGGGACACTAATATAAATCACCTAACAATATTTATTTGAAACATAGTCATAATATTTAAAGTAATCTTTTAAATAATCAATTAAAAATATATATGAAATAAATTCATTATATTACATTAAGAAATTTTGGTTATGTAAATATTAAACCCTTAAAATCATGACAAAATTTACCCAAATTCACATAGATAAAGAGACAAAATGATGGTTTATCAGAGACCAAGACAAACTTTAGGCCAAACCATAAAGAAGTATTAGATTTAAATGGCTTGTTAGACGACATGATTTACAGTATAACATAATGGTATTGTTTGATACATGTAGCCATCTCCACCTGGTGGAAAAAGCCATTTGTAGATGATGATAATGTTGTTGTTTGTAATTAATAATCTTTTGTGTGTTCGACTCAGAGAATGTTATGTTTAGGGTGTCCACTGGATATCATCTGGATTCTAGTTTTATGTTTTCATAATAAATTTAATGCAGTAATATATTTTCTTTTTTCAAGTTCTCAAGCCATAGAAAAAATAGATGAGAAGAATAGTGAAAATAAATACATCTATCATGTAGTTTTCTGAAGCTAATCATACTGATCAAACATAATGTTTTGAGCATTTTTTTGGATTGATATCTTATGAAGAGGAGTATAAGCATATTTCCATGCCTTATGTCTGTATATGCTTCTCAATTGACTGATTAAATCTGTTATGTAGGTTTTCGTGAAACTGACTTCTTTCCTGCTGACGTAGCAGATCAATGTCACAATTTATGACTGGGATATAATTTGGAAAAGCGCTGTTCTTGGTTCTGTGACTGTTCCAGTTGAAAGTGAAGGTCAAACTGGTGCAGTGTGGCATACTTTGGATAGCCCTTCAGGGCAGGTAATACCTACTTTCAGAAGAATTATTTGTTTGGTTCCAAATTTTTATTTGATTTTTAGTTGTAGTACTTTTCATGTCTTGAAAATGCCATTATTGATATGTAACTAAATATCAGGTTTGTCTCCATATAAAAACAATAAAACTATCTGCAAATTCTTCCAGGTGAGCCATTTGTTTTTATTTTTGATTTATATTAATTTACATTTCCTTTTAGTGGTCCAATTATTCCTTTTAAAATGTGTACTATGTTTGGTCACTTGGGTCTTGTTATTATCTTCATATGTTGGTCCATTTCGTACATTCATTAGTTGACTGGACTGATAGGATAAATGGTTATGGTGGAGCCAACCCTCGAAGAAGGATGCCATTGGAAAAACAGGGGCCTACTGTAGTTCATCAAAAGCCAGGGCCTCTTCAAACTATATTTTCTCTTCATCCAGATGAGGTTACTAACAGAAATTAAACTTGTTTATTTTTCATTTAGGATTACCACTGGTATTTTTTTTCTCGGGTCATATATACAGACATAAAGATGAATGTGCAGACATGTATTGTCTAGTCCATTTGTACCATGATGTTTGCAGATCTGACAAGTGAAGTATAAATTCAGGTTGTTGATCATAGTTATTCTTGTGCTCTTGAGAGGTCATTCTTGTATCACGGTCGGATGTATGTCTCTGCATGGCACATTTGTTTCCATTCCAACGTGTTCTCAAAGCAAATGAAGGTCAGCCTATATGATTCTTTTTTTTATGAAGGCTGACTGTTTAATTTTAAGATTTTCTGACAAATGTTTTAGAGAGACTGATAAAAAAATTTGAGTTGGGAGTAATATAGATTTCATGTAAAGTTTCTTGTTGGTGGAAACAGTTGTATTGTTATCATAGGGTTTTGCCTGGCCTTTATTTATTTGAAACTGTATTGTTAATATAAGACTTCAGAAAAAATAAGCTTTTTCTTACTTAGTTACACTGCTGTCTGTTATTTGTTGTTGATTCCTTGGTATTTTGTATTTATATAGTCTTTTTTTTTTTTTTTCTACATTAGTTAGACTATCATTTTTTTTTTTGGATAATTGACAGGTGGTTATTCCATTTGGAGACATAGATGAGGTACAATCTCTATTGTTTTTTCTCTTACTCCTCTGCCCTCAACTTAATATTTCAGTTACATTTAAAACTTACATCCAGTGCAATTATTCTGTGTTTTTCTTAAGATTCGAAGGAGTCAACATGCATTTATTAATCCTGCCATAACAATTATTCTTCGCATGGGTGCTGGTGGACATGGTGTCCCTCCTTTGGGAAGTCCTGATGGTGAGTAATTTGTTCAGAACACTTTTTCATTGTTTATTTTTCTGGATGAACTTTTGATTGTACTTGAACCTTATAATGCAATGGCTGTCCAAAATTTTTAATTAAAAAAATTCAATCAAATTAAAAATAAGGTACTGCATCAGCTTGCTTCCTTTTTTTGTTCTACGATTTTGCTATATGTCACAATGGCATCTGGTGCATGGGCTTTCTTTTATTCTTGACATACTTGCATGTTTACATAATCATTGGCATTTTACTATATTGCTGGTTCTCGTTTTTATCAAGATAACCAAATGTTTTTATTTAGGGAATAAAAATGAGCACAGAATTTTATCATCAATGATGGCCTTTGTCAGATAATTTGATTAGATCTGTATTTTCTTCTTTGTTTCAGGTAGGGTTAGATATAAGTTTGCATCATTTTGGAACAGGAATCATGCATTCAGAAACCTGCAGCGTGCAGGGAAGAATTTCCATGAAATGTTGGAAGCTGAGAAGAAGGTTACAGCTCTTGCTTAATCAGTTTGGTTTTCATTGTCTATACTAAGAGATTAATTGTAGAGATTTACATATACCTAATTGAATAAGGTTGTTCTTATTATAGGATCCACAAAAGATTTTAAAAGTAGTGTCATCTTCTAAAGTGATGGGTGCACTATAGAGGGTAAAACACATAGTTATAAGTTATAACAACAGATTGTAAAAACATCAAATTCAACAACTTAAAAGTTTGTGCATATTTTATGACAACCTAAAATGTTGATTTTTTTCTTTGACTGTTATATTCTGTACTTCACCCCTTTCATTAGGGGAACAAAAAAAATCCTTCTAGTGGCAATGTCTTGATACCCTGTCTACTTTAGGAACACACATTATGAAACTGATAAGCCATATGCTCCTCCAATGAACTAATATTGTCTTGTCCAATTTATTTTCTGCTCCACCACCTTGAAACTTTGGAACCACTTTAAAAACCTTTACCTCCCTTGATAAAGGACAAGTACTTTGTGTTTCAGTCGTGGGCCCTGTTGGAGGATATATCTTATTTAGGGAAATATATTATATATTGTATTTATAGGGATTTGATACTACTAATTGATTTGTATATATTTTTTCCTTATTTCCTTTCGATTGTATTGTGTGTAATTACCACAATTAGTGGCTGATTAGAGTATATAATATCACAGGGGCTGAGGTATCTTCCTTAAGCAATTCCATAATCGCTGCATCCATATTTACAGGCCCTGTGACCCAAAATAGGGCTCGTTACTGTTGCCTCCTTTTAATGATATCAATTATTATTACTTTTTCCTTCCTTGCTTGCATGGATAAGCTAATTTTTGGCTGATCTTGATTTGATTAGAGTTGCATCTAGAAATATGATGATTGTGTATATAAAACATCAAATACCATGTCTGTTGTGATATGGACAAATTATTTATTTAACTCTATTTCTCTTTGCCTGATATATTGTTAACTCTTAACAAAACACTGCATGCAATTGTGCACTATTTATTTTTATTTTCTATAATTTCTTATTATACCATTGTAACCACAAGTTAGTGAAACAGTGTTGAGGATGCAGATTGGCAAATATTCTGAAAAGATAAACTGTGGACATGATTCTGACTTTCTTTCCCTTTTAATTTTATATTAATTTTTACACTGACATTTCAGGATAAATTGAAAACAATTTCATGTGAGTCAGTGTTTTAATTTATCATTATACAGGAAAATGCAGAATCAGAACTGCGTGCACATAGCAGTTCTGTCAGAGGAAGTAAGGTACTGGATAAGGTTCCTGAAGAAAGCAAGCCAAAAACGGGACAACTTCAACATTTTATCAAGGAAGAGGCTTTAGTTGGTATATACAATGTAAGCATCATTTTCTCCTTTTGTAATCATGAATTTAATTACTAGCTTAATTATTTATATGTAACTAGTGATTCTTCTACAGGATGTTTTTCCTTGCACAGCTGAGCAGTTCTTTAACTTGTTATTAAATGATGATTCAAATTTTACAAACAAATACCGTTCAGTACGAAAAGATACTAATCTTGTGGTAAGTTTTCTTCAATTGCTATTGTGATTCTTATCAAAAGTTGTTGACTTCACAGTTGGGTTATAACGGAAATCAAATGTGATAAAATAAAAAGCTTACATATTGTTGTATATCTTTGGAGACTACCATTAATTTCCATGCAAACTAGCTTGGCTTTCTCTGAAATTGATGAACTATTGAGGTCTGCTTTTATTAGATGGATGCACAATGCAAGATTGTTCAGATTAACATATTTATCCTCATTTAAAAATTGTTCAATCTTTGTAATCCACATATATTACCTATGTTGTGATAAATGTTTGGATATGAAGCAATGTCGATGGTTCACTGTGAAACCAAGTGCATATTAACATGACTGTGTCAGAATGACAGATAGTCCGGCAGATGGTTATATGTATAGGCGAGAGCCATATATATTATTTGGCCTCACCAGATCAAATGCAATAGTGCTTTTATGAGGACATCAATTTTATCTTTACTTTAATCTGGCCAGTCTACTATGCCATTAGTGTAATTTTCCTTCCTATTTTATATTATTTTTCATTGATTTGTAAATATGGATTGTAGAGCTTATTGGAGTTAGTGCTTTCTCATCACCCTTACATGCACTTTCTCTCCTTTTCCTTTACTGACTCTACTATTAAAAATATAGAGATAGTGTTATAGTAATAGTTTCTAGCTTTTTTTATATTCAAAGTTGTATACTCTTACTTGCATGTACTAGATTTTCGTTCTCTCTGAACATTGACTTAAATGGAAGTCAGGAAATCTCAACTAGCTGAAATTGTGAATGAGAAAACATTGATTTTTTACCATATATTATTGATTAGGAAAAGGTGATGATTAATCACGATTTCTGTGCATAAGACTATATTTGTTGGTTAAAGTTGGTATTATATTTTTGTTCTTGGTGCAACATTGTAATGATGTCTTGATGTTTAACTCTACTCATAGGGTGGAAAATTTAGGTCAGATAATAATTATTCTGGTTGGATTCAATTTTTAATAGCTTGGCTTCCTGTTTTAAGGTGTTTGTTTGCTATTTGCAGATGGGTCAGTGGCATACAGCAGATGAATATGATGGTCAAGTCCGGGAGATTACTTTCAGATCCCTTTGTAACAGCCCCATGTGCCCTCCAGACACAGCCATGACAGAGTGGCAACATGTTGTTCAATCACCAGACAAGAAAAACCTGGTTAGGCTGTTTCTTGTATTTACTTATGATGAAATATCCAAGAAGAATATTGATAAATGCTCATATTTTAGTGTTGATAGCTTTTGTGGTCTGATTATGGTTAACCTTCTTTGCTCTGCAACTCATATCCTTTTCTTTTCTCCACCCCCACCCCCCTTACATTCTTGATTTCAAAATATTTAATGGAATGTTGTCATGACCTTTTTAGGTGTTTGAGACAGTGCAGCAGGCACATGATGTCCCATTTGGATCCTATTTTGAGGTATGGAATACTTTGGCTATCTTATCTGGATCAAGAAAACCCGTAATATTCATTTCAATAAGATTTTTTATTATTCATTAGTTTAATTTTGGCTCATATGATCTCTGTCAAGAAAACTCCTAATTGCCTGAGTAAGAGTTTACTTATGATCCATTGAAGGATCTGCATTGCTTGCAAAACTATATGCTACTTATTTTTGGAAATTTAAATTTTAAACTATCTTAACGGTATGGTAATGAAAGAGTGAAAAACATCTTTTTTTTTGTTGAATTTTAAGCATTCTAAAAAAACTAACGAGTTGCACACTAAGCATAGCAATTATATCAATATCAAATGATTAGTAGAACTTTTTTATTCAATTCAATCTTATAAAATTTATCATTTTTTTGTTTTGGAATAAAAATGAAATTGTAATTTTTTGTTTTATTGAAACATGAAAGCTTAAAGATAAGAAAAAATTTGTTATTCTTTAGTTTATAAGTATCCAAACTTTGATATCTATTACCCCATAAATAGTTCGAACTCTATAGGAACAATAATCAATTTTGTAGTTTTCAAACCCTCATTGCAGTGGTGATTTTCACAACTTTAAGTATAACCATGAAGTTCTGTGTATTTATAATATTTGAATCAATCCATTATCTTACCCGCTGAATGCACCTGGAAATGATTAGCACATTTAGAATGAGTATGAAGCTGCAACCCACCAAACAACTTCAGCTATCAAACAAGTTACTACTATGCCTTATTAGACTAATGCCAACTGGAAAGCGAAGGATAGTTGGCACAAATATTAATGTAGAAAACTCATATTATCATCAAACTATCTTTTGAAGTGCTCATTTCTTACTTACCTACAAAAGGATAAAGAGCAAGTACTATTCCAAAATACTCATTAGAAGTCCTAGATTGCCACACCTCTCATAATGGGAAGGATTATAACTAATCATTGAGTTATGTAATATTGAAATAAAACAGAAAGCATACTCATAGCTGTTCCATCATCTATACTTTGGTTGGTTCCCATTATATTTGTTCTTCTATTTATATTTTGTTCTTCTGGGTTAAACAGGTACACTGTAAATGGAGTTTGGAGACAACTAATGGAAACTCATGTACTCTAGACATAAAAGTGGGTAAGTATTGGTGTTAAAACTTCTGAATATTGACCCATTTTACCTGGTATACACCTTTAAGTCCGTCATCGACGATGCAGTCCTCTGCTATTCACCAAGCACAATTAAGTGTGACTATGAAAACCTGCAATGTTATTTATTTGTGGGGGTTATTTTCACAATTTTGCCCCTTTTCTATTCATCAGAACAGCCTGTATGGTTTGAAACCTTGTTCACAGCTAAGCTTTGTTCACACAACACTCACTGCTAGCTGGCATTACCAGGCAACCCACTCTCTTTTTCTACACATTTTGTTGTATTGAGTTTTCTGCGTATGAGTACAGAAAATGTCCGAGCCCCTCTTCTACTCTTGTTCCTTTGTTCTCACCCTTCAGATTATTATTTTTGGTGTGTATTTTTTTGTGTCCTCATTCTGCCCTACCATTCATGTCTTATGCTGTCACATTGTCGTCCTCTTGGATGCTTAAATCTACTTCATTGCTTGATTTTTGTTGTTATTGTGTGTTAAGACCATGACTTTTTCTTATTATGAGCATAGCGGCCATCCTGCTCTCCCACTGAAGGAAGGGGTTTTGGAATTGGCTGCTTTGCCACTATCTGGCATTGATACCTGTGGTCTATGTTCTATGATTACCATAATAAACAACAAAAGTCATTACGGTTCAATTCCTTCCTTCACTGCATTGTGCCTCTGTTAAGGACTGAGCAAATTGGTAAATTGTTTCTGCAGGTGCACATTTCAAGAAATGGTGCGTCATGCAGTCTAAAATAAAGTCAGGAGCAGTCAATGAGGTTTGTAGATCTTTTGTTGACAAAATTATTCCAATTGCAGGTATCATCATTTTTTTTAATTAATAAAAAATTTGTTTATCAATGCAGTACAAGAAAGAGGTTGAGGTGATGTTAGATGTTGCTCGTTCATATATAAAATCAAGTGCTTCTAGTGACGAGAATGATAAGGCTTCTTTGCCCCCTGCAGCGGCTGTGGAAAGCTGAATTTTTTTTTTGGCAACCTCAGATTAGGATTTTATTTGTGGCAATATCTTACTTAGCTTTTCTTTTCTTTTGTTATTTATTCTTGTAACACGCATAGCTGAAATATATGTAAATGTTGACTGCTATAGGTTTTTGTCTCATGTATTTCCCTTGGTAACTTTCAGCTTATCATAGGGGATTCTGGTGTTTCCATGTTTGTTCTCAAACGCCTCCGTGGAAAATGAAATTTCTTTAGTGTCATTAATTGCTACTATGCGATTTACTTTTCAAGAAAAGTCATCGTATTATCTAGCACTCATTTTGATAAATTAAATTATCTAGTAGATCTTCAAACACGACTTGTGCATCTTGCTCTTTTCTTTCTGCCACGTTTGCAAATAATTAGCATTCCCCTTTTCACCTAAAGGTTGGTAAAAGGATGAATTCATGCCTCTAGCATTTACGTAATCGGGAAAAGTGGTGAATTTGCTAATTACAAACTGGCAGCTACAGTAGTCAACGGAGATGCTCCACTGGGAATGCGTGGGCGTTTAAGCTGAAGTTATCGGGTAACAGAAGTTGTAACTTGTAAGTAACCAGTTGCTTCCTATATAAGTGAATTAACATCGTAGTTTTAAACTCTGATCAACGTAGTTTCTCACAATTTTATATTAATTAGTTATATAATATATTGCATAATATAAAAAATATAATTATAAGCAGTTTGACTTTGATATAATAGGAGTTGAATCAGTATGTTGTAAATTAATGCATTATTCATTGAATAAAAAGTAATGGTATATATAATGAAGAGTGCTAACATTATTTTTTGGAGTTGAGTTATAAAAATGTTATAAAAAGAAACATTTGTGATATAGGGATTGCAATGGATAAGACACTCGTTCTCTCATACCCACATTTTAAAAAAGTATCTCATATTTATTAAGTACCTAAATTCTCATACATATTCCCGTTACTTGTAGTTTGTTAATTGAAATACAACCTCTCTTAACATTTGTTTATGAACTAATAAAACGTAAATCTTAGTATAAAATAAATATTATTAAATCTCATTATAAATATAAAATATTTTTTGTAATTTTATTTTCAAAAGATATATAAAAAGGTAGTGTAGGTAGCGAAAAATGTGATGGAAAAAGTGTAGACTTTTTGTTTACAAGAGTGAAATTACTGTTGATTAGTTCGAAAAGCATATACAATATAAACAGCCTTAAAATTTAACATTGGGCCTGGGACTCAATTTTACTGAAGCACAGGGAGAAATATTTTTGGTGTTTTATGGGTTGGGGCCCATTAGCAAAGCGCAAATGGATACAGAAGGCATCGACGGAACCCAGTCCCTGAACATTTCCTTGGCTCTATGGTTCGGTTCAGGTCGAGAGAGATGAAGGGTTCGATGGGTCGCTATGGCGTTGCCGTAGTTGTGGTGTTGGCTTTGATTTTAGGTGCGTCAACGGAACAACTGAGCTCAAGAGAATGCGAGAATCTTGGCTTCACTGGACTCGCTTTGTGCTCCGATTGCAATACTCTTTCCGAGTACGTCAAGGACAAAGGTTTAGGATCTCTCTCTCTCTCTCTCTCTCTCTCTAGTTTCATTCAAAAACAATTTCGCTTTTTTCAAATTTTTGGATTCCACTGTTATTATGTCACTCGGTGAAGCACGATTAGGATCGCATATAGGTTAGGGTAGTGTCTGTGTAACAATTACCAATTGAATTGTTCTAGCTAATTTTGGTTTGCAGAGTTGGTATCGGATTGTTTAAAGTGTTGCACGGAAGACTCCAATGATGCCACTACCAAGGTATGATCCACTTTGACTAGGTTACATGAATGCTGATTTCGGAAGTAATTTACCAATTTTGCTTGGTTCTTGAATCATGACCATTTGGACAAAAACGAATGTGGTTGCAAATTATATAATTATGCTTCATACTCATGCCATTGCTAAATCAATCTTCTAGTCCCTGCCGAAGCCGCTGAGGCTATGGCCAACAATTTGTAAAGTAAAAACCTAGTATATTTCCATGATTATGATTGTGTATGAATTTTAATTTAAGTGAAAATGGAGATGTAAGGAAGAAAACATGTTTTATTTTCATTCCCTTTTTCATTGATATATGAATTGTTTACCTTGTTTTTACTTTGTTTTCTATTGTCAAATGTTTTTATTCAAAGTTTCAGGTGTTGAATGTTTGAAAATCAGAAACAAAGTGAAAATAATGTAACATTTTTGTAATTATTAGTACAACGATATCCCCATGAGTGATCCATGTAAATGTTTTGACAAACTCTACATTAGCTGCTGAAAGCCTAATGCAAGAAAATGGCTATTTTTATGTCGTAATTTTTAGACATGTTTTGACAAGTTTTACCCGGTGAGCTTGGGACCAGTTATGGGACAATAGGCGGAGTTTTTTGTATTTATTAGTAAAAACAAGAAAATGAAAACAGACTTTTTTATCATAATGAAAAAAGCCCAGGATTCTCAATGAGTGTATGCAGTAACAGAATTTATTTTTTATCTCATTATTATTAACTGTAGATTATGTACTCTGGAGCTCTAGTGGAAGTCTGCATGAGGAAACTTGTTTTCTATCCTGAGGTTGTTAGCTTTATTGAAGAGGAGAAAGATCAGTTTCCATCAGTCAAAGTACAATATGTTTTTAACTCCCCACCAAAGCTAATTTTGCTGGATGATGCGGGTCAGCATAAGGAAACAATCAGGTTAGACTTCTTTGATGATCTACAGATGAATAATACCTTGCTCACATTTTGCTATTGGAGCTCGTCATTGGGTTTTTGTTTAATTGATACTAAGGCATTGACTGCGGTGTGTGACATTTCAAAAATGTGTTTAAGTTGTTATTAGATGGATGATATAACAAAAACTAAGCCTTATCCCATTATCACAATATTCTATTGTGAATCTTGTCCAAACCTATAATTTTTCTCAGTCTCCCTCCACTTCTAACAATAGAGTTTCTATTAGAAGGATGATGTGAATGGTTAAATGAAATGATATAACTTTGATAAACTTTGTAGGATTTTTATGAAATTTTTAAGTTTACTGAAAATAGTCAGCATTTGTTTACAAGGTTTTCTTGATGTATAAAGCAATACTCATTATCAAATTGATGATTAACACTAAGCTTGTGCATGTTTTCATAGCATAGTTGTGAGGGAATGGATCTTTCCATTGAAACCAAAGAATCTAGTAAATAACCATTTGAATTATCTACCAAAAAGAAACAACTTGTTAAACTTTTTTGTTGATGACTGTGTGGACATGAAACTAAAGCATATAGGAAATACTCACAAGTCACAATGGCTTTAAAATCATTCTTGAATGTGATTTCAAAGCTGTTGTTAGCTGCAACCTCTTTACAAAGAAGCAGTTGTGAAAAGTATACCTTTTCTGTGTACTCTAGGATGTCTTTTCTGAAAAAAAATGAGTTTTAACTTGTTTTTTTATCAATGTTTGTTTCTTTGTTGTAGGATTGATAATTGGAAACGTGAGCATATGCTGCAGTTCCTGCGAGAGAAGGTGAAGCCTTATGGCAGCTAATTGAGAATCTTTAACTCGTTCTATGGAATGTCCTCCCATCTAACAGAAAAAAAAAAAAAAAAAAAAGTGGGAGGATATACGGTGAGTTAAGAGGAGTCAATTAAATGAGCCCTGGTTGCAAGTGACACGAATAACATATAATGATAATTTGGTCAGTTTCAGATAATTCTGAGTTTTTGTGACAATTGCAACTCGACAATTTCCTTTTTTCAGTTTTATGGCAGCCGTAGAATGTTGTAGTAACTGCAGTCTAGTAAGATCTCATTGGTAACAAGCATGGTTCAGTGTTTATCAGTGATAATGCGTGTATAGGTAAGGTAATTCATTTTTAAAGAAAGTTATGAACTGTCGTGTAATTTTTCTCTATTAATGTGCCGTGCGCATCAAAATCATGCTTGATAAATGAGGTAACCTACTGACAAACCATATTGTCCACTTTTTGACATTCTAGATTTAAGTTGTAGCATTTGCATCTGGATTCCGAAATACCCTTCTTGAGGGTAATTAATGCTGGGAAATCAATGTTTCTTGCACCTTATTGCCGTTGCCTAATTTAAAACGCTCACTGCAACTGAATAAAATCATACACCAAGTCGAACCACGTTTAATAGCAAACGGGGCTTGATGCATTGGTATTGAGGTTTCCCCTTGAGAAGGTTAGGTTTAAATGTTTAGTAGCAATAAAGCGTAGCCCTAATGCCAATTGAAGTTTGCAACATGATCCTAATTTTATCCTTACAACATTGATGCTCCAACACCCTTTTAGAAAGATTATCCTATGATATTCCATATTTTTGGTTTTTTTTTTTTTTTTGGGTTCCATTTCACGTTCGAGAAATGCTAGCAATTCATTGTTTCACACATTTTATTACTGGTTCAAATATGTAAAAAAATATTTGACTTCAATTAATTCTTACTTCTAATTTAATGTTTCTTTTATACTTTTATATATTTTAATAAATTTTAGTTATTAACTAAAAGGGTATTAAAAAGGGTCAAACTTAATATTTCTTTTATACTTGTTTAGTTACTAGTGTTTTTATTTTATTTTTAAAAAAATGACTTTATCATAAACTTTATGGAGAGTTGCTTTTTACTCTCTTTTTTTACGATCTATTAAAAAAATTATAAATTTTCTTTCTCTAAAATATTTTTTATGTAAAATTTTAATTTCAAAAAATTATTTTAAAAATTGTCAATAATTCCATAAATTATTTCTTGGAAGTGTCAAATAGTAAATCAGAAAATTTATTTTCAAAATTGTAGAATTCTAATTTTAGAAACTTATATTTTTTAAAATGTTAAATGATTTTGAAAGTGTAAAAGTTGAATTTCAGAAATTAATTTTTTAAATAGTTAATAGAAAATTAATTTTCAAAAGTGTAAAAATTTAGTTTCAAAAATTAATTTCAAAAGTGTAGAATCCTAATTTTGAAAATTTATTTTTAAAAATGGTTAATAAGTTTTGAAATTATTTTCTTGAAGTGTAAAAGATTAATTCTAAAAAATAATTTTTGAAAGTGTTTAATCCTAATTTTAAAAACTTATTTTTTAAAATAATTAATAATTCCATAAATTAATTTCCAGTAATGTAAAAACTCATTTCTGAAAACCAAAACTTATTTTTGGAACTCATTAATAATTTCAAAAATTAATTTTTGAAAGTGTAAAACTCTAGTTTTGAAAATTGACTTTTGAAAGAGTACCAACATTGATAGGTTGATGGAGGTCGAAAAATATGTACTTTTTTATGATATATTTATTTATTATAGTACATTCAAAATAATGAAAGTATCTCTCAGAAAAGGCAGTAATGAAAGAATAACGAAATTTGGAATAATAAAGAATAAAAACAAAATGTCAGTGGGAATAAAGAGTGAAGTTCTAAAAGAGAAGAAAATAATTCCAAAATTTGAAATAAAATAAAAAAAATTAATAATTAAAATCATTGTTAAGAATATTGTAAGAAAAAAAGTTATATAAAAAAATGAAAAAGGTGTAAGAAAAAGTTGCAAAATCCAATCCCCACTTTCTGGTTGTGTCTTTCTTATATCTGCTTTTTTAAACTTTTGGTCTACCCGGTTAGTGCCTCCTATGGACGATGTATGAGTAGTGCACTTACTGTATTGGGTTTTGTTTGACCCTTCTATTGGGCTCTGTTTGTTTGGGTTTCGGGCTTCTGGAACCTTTGTATGGTTGACTAACAATAAGAAAGAGATCCAACCAATGCAAGAGCTCATGAAACATCATCTCATGTCCATCAATTGTTCATCACGAGAAAAAACGCCCATCAATCATGAAGTTAGCCAAAATGTCATTTGAAGGGAAAGAAAATTTAAAGTATGTTTGGTCATGACAGTTGGTTGGACTCTCGTAATATCACTATGGATACCTTTCAATTTGAAATCAATTTTTCAAACATGTTTATGCGTGTGGCCCCTAGTTACTGTCCTTTTGTTCAAATATTAAACCTTTAAAGTGTATAAATCAACTTTCTAATTAGATGATTGTGGGCGATTATTTTTAAAAAGTAATTAACTTTTCTAAAGTTTTGTTCAAAGTTAGTTTTTTTTCAAATTGAATTAAAACAAATACATACCTAGTTCAAAACTTTTATGAAAAAGACATCACTTGAATGTTACTTGAATCAAATCTTATTTTTGAAAAAAATTACTTGAATCTTAAATGCAAATCTTTCACAATTCAAAGAGAAACTAGATTCAAGGGGAAAATCAACAAAAAGCTAATTATTGTCATTCTCAGCATGTTGTCATCTGGGCAACATTATACAGACACGAAACAGCATTAATAAATCAGGGTCAAAGTGTAGGTCAAAGATACACTGATGAAATAAAATCCAAATGTCTAAATTAGCACAGTGAAACATCGACATTCGTACTTGATAAAATCTAGAAATGACTTTCATTAAGCTAATTAGTACATGGAATCATTATACAACTAGAAATTTTCAAATATACATTTCATAATCAGCACATGGAATTAAGGACATATATATGGCTACTTGGAAGCTCACCCCCATCACCGGTTTAAAATCTTAAAGGCGTGGGACAGCTTCATGATAAGAGTTTTTAATTAATGCTTTAAACTATTTTAGCTACTACGATTCCATCTAGATGTATGATATAAATTATCAAGCTACAAGGCTCAACCTTTAGGCTGCAAAGTTGACAAAATTAGTCAATGAAATTGCGAGACATCATTCTCAAATTTAGGTGAACTCGTCTTGATGGGAGCCCAAATATCTGCACCATTGCTTTCAGCAACTCCAATTGTAAATGAGACAGGAACAAGACATAACCCTCTACTCCTCAAGCTGCATGGTTCCATACCCTGAAGGCAATAGTTCTATTATAACCCAACTTAACAGTAGGAATAACCACAGCTTCATAAATGATTGTAGAAAGGCCATCCAGACATACTACTATATGAAATTTGAAACAACAAACAAAAGCCTTATCCCACTTAGTGAATTGACAACATAAATCACACGATGTCATTAGGCGTGGCCAAATACCAAATTCCTAAAGATTACATGAAACTCGAGAGAAAAAAATGATTTGTCAAATTTGAAGTGTTTCAAGTATATGAACCAAAAATAGAAATGGTTCAGAGACTAAACACATGTTCAAGGGTTCTCTTTGTAATAAATAATTCATAAATATGACATTGTAAAAGCCATAAAAAAAAGTTTTGACCTCATCCATTCACAGTTCCTACTTCACTGTGGCAATGTTCATGTTATGCTCACCTGCATCTTGGTTGTTGGTGAACTTTCGAGGTAAGGAGCACTAAGCAGCTGTTAAAACAAGAAAAAATCTTTGCATAAGATCTCAGTCATACTAAACATAATTTAGAATTTGTGACATCTTTTTTATATGCATGCATGTATTTGAGCATATCATGACATGACGATAAACACAGTAATCGATGTACTGAACATTTCGACTTCATGACAATGATGAGACCTTTCTTTTTACTACATTCAGTTTCATTATAATGCAGTTATATAATTCAGTTGGGAAGGAATGACCAAGGAGAATAAAAGAAACTGGACAACAAAGACACAAATTTAGTGAAAATAAAATATTATATTTTGTGTCTAGATAGTAGATAGGTAAGATCCCTCTCAAGAAATAAAATCCAAATAATATTATATGCAAATTTCGTTTCAATATTGCACTTAAGCTTGAACCTGATATTGGGATGACATTCAATCTGCCTTCCCTAAAATGCAGGAATATGTTATAAAATTTACCTCAGGACCAGATATCACACCATTACATAATTTATGTCCAAGTATGCAAGCTTGTGGTATATAGACCAGTCACTAGAATATTTACAACGAAAATTTCAGCATACTATAGCAAGAATGTCCAAACCTTAACTTGTTTATGAAGGAACCCTATGTATTCCATTGCCTCCTTTAGAACAGAAGATGTATCTGTCTGCATTGAGAATTAGAGAATCTTTAGACTCACAGAGACTAGAACAATTCATTTGATTGAAATCAATAACAGGTAAGCTATCATACAACTCAAATATTAAAAAATTTACTTAAATTATTTTTCTATTCAAGTCAAATAAGCATTACAAGCATCAGATATATCTTACAGAAGATCATCCACCGAGCTTTAAAAAGGAGGCTGAGATTAAGTTCCAGTAAACTCGGGCGGATATAAAACAAGTAATTGTAAGTAGCTCTATAATACAATGTGTGAGGAACTAATTGCTGCATACCTTTCCATATGGTGAAACAAGCTGCTGAAGTGCAACAATTCGTTCACCAATCTTTTCCTTCCTCTCCTATTTTCCCAGAAACATTAGAAATGTTATACAGAAAGAAAGAAAAAGTTTGCTTTCAATGAAGAAAATCACATATATCAAAAATTTGAGTATCAAGGAATGTTCCATACAACAGGTTGGTTGAACACTAGTTTTGACTTTATGAGACAACAAAAAATGAAGGAAATTGGAGCATGTTGTTAAGATGATCCTTTTGATTCCTTTCTGGTGTATATTGATTTTGAGTAGTACAGCTGAACAGGCTTCGTATTGAATTAGACATCAATCTCACCCTGAACTTAGCTTATACTTAATTACATAGAACAAATTGAAAATAATGATAAGACAGCTGGATTCAAGGTTTGAAATCATACAATGCATGATAAAACCGCCAATAAATATGATGTTAGTTCTGGTCTAAGTAATAAGAAACAAATAGTTAATTCATTAAGTCCAATAAAATGTAACATGTATAAAAAATTTATACTCTATTCTAAAAATATTCATCGTATTAAATGATCAAATTAGTGTCTTATATATTAAACAAATGAATGTATCAACTTATATGGGTCATGTCTGAATGTCATGTTAAAAAATACAAATTTCATAATAAATAAGGATATAAAAAAATTAGCAACTAAAGCATCTAAAAATGGGTTTTTATTTCTTATAACTAGGACCAAGAAAATATTAATAGTGACAATTAGTCTAAATATAGAGAAGAGGCAGCACTGCATTGTTCTCGATGAAAAACGTCAAATAGTAAACCTTGGATATCCATAAAAGTACATGAGTAGATACCGAAAGAAAAAGAAAAAAAGATATAGAACTGTTTATTCAACAACCAACAACAATAAAAGGAGAAAAGGAAACAAAAGAAACCTTAGTGCTGATGGATAAATCAGCCTTTTGCCTTTTAGATGCAATAGAAGTATAGCTGCTTTGGTCAACAGAGCAGGGACTCCTTTTATGTCCCATCATTTTTCTAACATCTATCCCCTCTTCCCTCTGGTGGCATCAAAAAGAAAAATCTTGTATAAGAATAATGAAAAAGCGAATACAAATGATAAAAGAAAATCAAACCATCAACACTTCCTCTCACTAGAGTAGCACGTACTAAGAATCTAAATCATTTGAATTTTATGGATTTAATTTGTTCATTCTTCATAGTTGTCACAGTTACACACAAAATAATAATGCATTTGCAATAAGTAAAGTAGAAACTCACTTATAACCAAGTGGGTGACCACCAGACTAAAGTCCTGATGGCAATCCATTTAATTAAAAAGTTAATAACAACTACAATATATTTTCAGTTACTTTTAAGTTTGATAAATGTCTTATAAAATGTAAAGATATCAAAAGCCACAAATTGAGGAAGAATTAAATGCAAGGAGTCAGTGTGAGTTGTCATCCTTTCTAAGGAAATCCCTTGGCACCCAAGGACAAAGGGTGGGGAAATCTATTGAGTACCTGACAATTCTTTGAATGAATCTGCCTTACCAAAAAATAATTGGAGAAGTATGAAATAGTATATTATCACTTAAAAAAGGGACAAAAGCCAAATTAATGGCTTAATTTGATATAAGCTTGTCAAAATTTAAACTCCTCCAATGAAGGGGAAAAAATCCTTTAATATGGTAGTGTTTACACTTGAGTGCAACATGCAACACAAAAACACACATATGGGACTCACAATAACTGTTCCTGTTTCCTACCCTCTTTCTTGTCCCTTCAGTTAAAAAATAACACATCAACAGAAAATAATTAACTAGCAGGGGAGAGGATGTTACATTGTAAAGAAAGAAAAAAATTGTTTAATGAAATGTCATTTCTTAATTAGAGGCAAGAAAGAAGACAAGAAATGAAAACAAGTGATCTCAATCCGTGTATATACATCTATCCAGCTTGGCATACAAAAACAAGTGAGAAACATTATTTTTATATTAATTATATATGTCTTGTTAACTAGTATCATAAAATATTTATAAATGCTTCTTCTTCTTCTTTTTTTTGTTATATCAAAAGTGTAATTAAAATCACAGTCAATACATTAATAATGTCTTTATTATAAAAATCCATTTTTGATTTCATTAATCGATATTATTGTGCTCATGTCTAATCTAATAATACATGTAAGTTCATAACAACATGCACTGTTAGTCAGAATAATGGTGACATGTATCAAATCAAAGCCAAACGATGTCATCATCTTTACCCTTCCCCATAAAAAAAGACCATTTATTAAATAGTAGCATTATATAACCTGAAAAATACAAAGAGGTAACAGCTACACCGCAACCGAAAATCAAAAAGTGGCCCCATGGACACGATGCTACACTTGAAGGAAAACAACAAAGGGAAAATGAAGCAGCCATGCATAATTGCATTCCATTCAAACCACACAAGTCATAAGCTCCTTCCAACGGGCCAAGGGTCATCACTGTAACAAACATATTCAACGGTTTACAACTGATCACTCTTAATTAATGGTCCAAATATGTTACTATAAACACTTCAAAAAAATGTACTATAAAAATCATCAAGATTGTGATTTTAGTTACCGTAACAAAATTATTACTAATATTTTCCTTTTTCGTAATTTAATTATAATATCTAACTCTGATGTTGCCAAGAACCTCAAATGTGAGGTGGGCCCACCGTTTGATTTTTGACGAAAACTTATGTACATACACTAACACGCATTCACATACAGATTACACCTTGCATGAACGAATCTAATTTGCGTACAAAATCTTCCCAACCACTCTTGTTTAATGTTAAAGCTTTATCTTAATTGACAACATGCAATAAGGACAAAGGGTTAATTAATTAATTTACGAAAAAGACAACGATTAATCCAGAGAGAGAATCGCATGGTGTATGGTTTTGGGCTTGGATTTTGCAAAATCATAAATATAAAGTATAAAACCAACCACTCATTTATTACATCTGTACTTGGAAGGAGAACAATTCTGATCATTCATTCTCTAGTAATAGGAATGCAAGATTGATCGTTTAGAAGTAAACAACATCAACATCATCAACAACAAAAACAACAATTTTGAACACAAATTCTCAGAATTTCCCACAGCAATCTCCGAGCACAAGAAGAACAATGAGAAGGTCCATTTACTAAAAGTGAGAACACGAGATAGCACTTAAAAGACCCAAAAGGATAAATGGTACTAAATTTTAGTTAAGAACTTACTGAAAACATAGAATCAGCATTGCAGAAGGAGCTGGCTATCATCTATGACTTTTTTTGAAACAAAAAGCAGAAATAGTTGAAACCAGAACCCTCTTCTTAGGCAAGTGATGGCTGCAAATGTTTTGGTGGGTATCTTCCAAAAGTTATAAAGTTTGAGACTTTAAGCAGTGCCTGTGATCAAAATTTCATTTCGGCAGGAAAATTCAAAAACTTGATAAAAGTAGCAGACACTTTTACAAGCATATGCTTATATGGAACAACAAGGTAAGTGACGTACTGGTGCTTGAAAGAAAAGCTAGTAGAAGCTCATCAATGAAGGAAGAGAAAGAGAGTTGTGTGGCTTCTTGTGGAGAAGGAAGAAGAAGAAGGGGGTGCAAGTTAATGTCAAAATGTGATTTTATAAAGCTAAATGAATATAATACAATAATTCCTTACGTAAGAATTTTAAATGTGTATTGTCATAAATATACTTGACAGCTAATATCCAACCAAGACAGCATTTTGGAATTTCAGTTTTTTCCTTTTCTTTCTACCTTTTTTATTTTATCTAACGGACGTAGAGGTTCAAAAATTAAAATGTAAAAGAAAACTCTTATTATTGGTCTAATGAATGTTTAGTTTTAAATTACAAAAATATTTTTAACCCTCTAACGTATAAAATAAAATATAATAAATTGAATCATTTTAATGACCCGTGCTTAAACGAAGATAAAAGCTAACAATTAATGAAAAATGTAAAACTTGATGATTTATATATAATTTATTTATGTAAAAGGTTTAACATTTTTTAAAATATTATTAGTCATAATATTTCTCTTTTTTATTAATAAGACAAGAGGGCAACTAATTATTTTGCAGACTACATGACTAGTTTATTTAAAAACAAAAAATAAATGTCTTGGGACTGAAAATAAATATTTTTCTATTAATTAACAAAACATTTTTTGGGGAATTAAATTTGTCTACGTCAGGAATCCCTATCTTTCCCGAGAAGACAAATATTTGTGACATAACCACATTTGCGTCCATTTTATAAAATACTGTTATAACGTTAAAAAAAATTGCCTGTAAAGTGGGCCAGTCTTCTAATTACTTTTTTATGACTTTTAAAAAACGTTATTACCACCGGTCTTGTTTTATTTATTTTATAGCTTAAAGTTTAATTTATATTTTTTAATATTAAACTAATTTAATACACGTATATTAATTTTATTTAATAATTCATAATTAATGTCATTAAATTTAATTTTAGTTAACTTTAAATTAAATAAACACTCAATATTTTGTTTATTTATTTATATAAAAATTAAAATGATATTAATTATTAATTTTTCACGAAAACATTTTTATTTATATAATAATTCTATATATAATAAGTAAAGCATTTATATTAATTGAATAATTGGAAATTTAAAAAATATATTACTAAAGAATAAATTTAAAAATTATCAACTAGTTTTTAAAAGATATATAAATTTATTAATTTTTGTAACTTTTCTTTAGGCAAATAAATTAGAGCAAAATTAATATTATTTTATATATAAACAACTTGTGAAAGTTAAAATTTTCTGAAGTTTCTGCATTAACTTCGAGTATTATTTATAACAGTCAATCTATTGTGAATCAAGTTGAACCGTTGTGAACATAAAACTATCCATGTGACTTATTCTGACTCTAAATGCGTGTTAAATCAATATAAATACTACTACACTTTAATTTTTTTATTAAATATTGATTTGAATTTTATATTTTTTAAAAATTTATTATCGCTTAACAATATGATATATTTAAATATATGTTACATCTTTAAAAAAGTACAATAAAAGTTATTTTCTAAAAAATTTATTTATAAAATCTAAAATAAAAAAATCATATGTAAATATTTACAGTGACTACCAATTTTTTTTCTATTTTTTTTTTTTACTAGAGTATGTTTTATGCCTGATACTCTATAGTAAAGAGAGTGCTGCAATGTTTGTATAAGTATGTTCACATTTTCATAATAATTTGATATTTGTAGGTAATGAATGAGCTTACTCTAATGGAGTAATTGACCAAAGACTATAGCTTATTAACTGTAAATGGAAAAACTAATAACAATAAAGTGTTTTAAAGTAATTGAGTTTTTTTAACATATATTTAAGAACACATAATATGTGTATATATAATATTTTTATAAAAAATTATAAAATTCAACGCATTAATAACATTTGCATTATATTTTTATATCCTCTACACACTTAAAAAATAAAAAATTTCACACACAACTCATTGTTTAAATTTTTAATATTGTTATATAAAAGACGTTGATTCAATTTTGTAAGAAAATATTAGCATAAAAAAAGTTAAGTCATATAATAATAATGATAATAATGTTTGGTCTACATTTTAAAAAAATATTGGAGACAATTTTGCTTTAAGTATAGTATTACCACGTAGACTTAAACTTAAGACTATCAGTCAAATTAGAATTAGTTGAGTTTGTTAATACTTTTTAGGATTTATTTAAACATTTAGGAATAGTTTTTTTATATAAAAAATAGTATACTTCCATATTTTTTATGTAATATTTATTTTTAAATAAAAATTTACTATTTTTACATGTTTAAAATCATCCATATAAACTGATATTAACAATTTTCATAATATTAACATATATTAGAAAGATTAGAAAGACACACTAGTGAGCTAGCTTGCCACCTTCATTAAGTATATTAGAAAGACACACTAGAGCGTGATTCACCAAAATATGATTACAAAAGTAAAATAGTGACTAATGCCTTAAAAATATTAATTAAATAAATATTTTATAAATGCATTTTTGTCACAAATTAATACATTTTTAATTAAAAAAATGTTTATAAGATGTTTATTAATAAACAATTATTAAAAGAGACCCGAAAATATTTTTTGAAAAGCATTTTTGTTTGTGCTAAGGAGGGTGTCGTGTAAAAGCAGCATACCGCATTCATTGGGTAGCACGGGTGTACTTGAGATCGTCTGTCCTACTGAGTTATCTTAATGTGAAGACAATGGAATTAGATTTCTAGGTCTATGTCAAGATTACTATGGGTTTCCACTTATAATATTTTTAAAGTAATAAAAATAAGTTTATTTACACTTTTTTATAATTAATTATTTTTATTTAATTTTAAATTATATCTGTTAATATTATGTTTCAAATTTAAAATTTTTTACTGTTTAATAAATTTTTATAAAATATAAATTTATTAATTCAATTAATGAATTATTTTAATTATATATATGGTTTTAATATTTATAAAAATACTATTTAAATTTTTATTTATATTTAAAAAATATATTACCTATTGAAATAAAATAATGTTTAATAATTTTTAAATATAATTTTATAAAATTAATTTACGTGACAAAAATCTTCAAACTAACTGTTTAATCTATCAAATTTATATTTTATAAAAGTTATTAAGTGATAAAAGCGTTAAATTTGATATCTAATGTCTAAAGAATCTAATTATTTAATTTTTAAAATATTTTTAAAAATTTATTTAATAGTTAATAAAAATATAATATGACGTATATTAATTTATATAAATTAATAGATAATATTTAAATAAAAATATTAAATATAATACATAAAATATAATACAAAATTTATATTTTATTTAATTATTTTAAATACTTTTTTTGTATACTTAACTAAATTAATAATAAGTTATATATTTATTATATTCTTGTCGATTATTTGGATAGAATTTTATGGTGAAGGAATTATTTTAAACAATTTAAAAATTAATATATATATATATATAAATTAAAATTAAAGAGATAAAAGTACAAAGTTAGTTTTATATTATAGTTTTTTACTTGATATAATCGTGATTTTATATTAATATAACTTATTTTAAAATGAATTTAATTTTGATGCATTGAAAATATTTTTATTTTAATAATCAGTCAAAATTTTATAATGATTATAATTTTTTAATTATTTTTTATATCAATTATCAGAGGATTAATAATTTTTATTGACATGACTACATAAATTATTTTTTACACTATCAATATATATGTAAATTAATTTTTTAAAATATACTAAAGGTGCTTGTTAGTTTCCAAACTTTTTCATTTTAAAATTTAATTGTATTTAATATTTAAATTTAAATATGTATGTTTTATCTTGATATAAAGTTAACTCCTAATTTATTTTTTATTCTTACAATAATTTGGTATTTTTTATATTATAAGTATTGTTATAAATCTAGTCTTTATTTTTTAACAAACGTATTTATGAAAAATATTTTATATATGAATAGAATTATAATGTAATTTTTGTAGTTATGCTGTATGATTTTTTTATTGAATGTTTATTTTAAAATTTTAATAAATTAATTTTTTTAATTTTTTAATTTAATAATATATATACAATATACGATGAACTCACTTATTACTATTTAATGTGTGTCTCTAAAACATTGCAACTCCCATGTAAGCATATAACCATTTAAACATTCACAAATTTCTTTAGCATCATATTGCAAATTATAATTTAAACTTCTATACAATGAGATAAGACATGTTGAACCCTAAATATACATTACAATTTCATAAATATTCATGGGCAATTGTAAGAATTATCCATGCTCTAATAGAATAAAGTGCATATTCATGAGCATGTTTTGTTATTCTAACGTCTAAATTAGAAGAAAATTAATAAAAATATTGTGTAATTTACTTTAATCATATTTTTTAATATCATTTGATTTAGGCCAATTACTTAGTAATTATTTACACATATGTTACGATGCTTGAATATTTGGATGAGTAGAACAAATCACTAATAAACTATTAATTTGTGTCCAAATGACATAACAACATTTTTTAATGTTAATGTGCATTATCCACAAGAAATAGAATGAATGTGTTTCTAACTTTTAATATTCAACAAGTGCATTTATTATGCTACCATTTATATATATTTGATATATTTGCGTAACATGATTATCAAGTTCAGTATGTCATAAAATAGTATATATTTTAGGCTTATGTAATATTATTGATAACTCATGAAGTTGTATTAGACTCATTACCTAAAATAAAAAAATATATTAAGTATTTGCCAAACTATGAAATAAATATATATCATAATAAAAATTATTTGTTTAAAAATTTTAAAAATAATTATTTTACTTGATTATAACCATACAAATTTAATAAATATTTATTTAATTTTTTTATTAATTATAATTAATAATAAAATACTTAATTTTAATTATTATTTAACTAAACTACAAATCTACAATACACAATGTTACAATAACTTAAATTAATTAAAAATAATTGTATTTTTTATAACAACATTAATAATAATTATTTATATTTTAAATACATACTAATTCTAAAATGTGCTTTTTGTGAATCCATAGTTGCATCATAAACTATA